TACATCTACTTGGCTCTAAAGGCAATCCCTTAGTGAAGGATTATTGGTTTGATTGAATGAGTCAGAATTTAATCCAGATTAAACTAATCCAGGTCATTATTCTGTAGTCGGTACATTGATTAGCTAATGAATGACGGCGTTGCTGGGTTCTTATTCTGATTCTGGTTTCAGTTCTGATCCTCATCCTGATGAAGGTCTTCATCAGGATGAAGGACGGGTCTGACCCGGTGGTGGACCCGGGACCGACCCGACCTTCGGTCCGACCCGATGGTGGACCCGGGAGCGACCCGACCTTCATCAGGGAAGCGGTTTGGTTGATCAGACTTACTTTCCCACCACGTCTTTGATCTGGTTGTTGACCAGCGCCAGGTAATGGTCGATCTGAGCCTGAGACACAGAGACAAGTTAGACTGGAACCATTGTGGGCAGACAGGTGCATTGTGGGTAATATCTGGGTAACTACCTGGTGTTTCTCATAGATGATGGGGCAGCTGAACGCTCCGACCAGACCTGAAACAGAACCGGAGGTTAGAACCGGGACCTGCCGCTGTGCTCGGAGCGGATCTCCTGATGGAGACTCACCCAGGATGAGCAGCGTCAGGCCGTTGAACAAGGCGCCCACGTAGGTCAGGATCCACATCAGGACAGCGAACTGCAGGGAGACGAACCAACCGGATCAGAACCACATCTAGAAGCTCAGCTCTATGAACGGATTCAGACAGAACCGAGCAGAACCCACCTTGATGGAGTCCACCAGGTCCTCCACCAGGAACAGGCGCCTCAGCTCCACCACGCTCTTGTTGAGTTTTTCCAGAACCTTGTCGCTGTACTTATGGACCACGTCCTCGGACAGCGCCACCTCCTGGTCCAGGTACTGCCTGCAGGACGGAGAGGAGAGTGTCCAGAACCAGAGCTTCACAGAGGCTGGAGAAATACCAGAACCAGCCTGGAACCAGAACCGGCCTGGAACCAGAACCAGGCTGGAACCGGAACCAGCCTGAATCCAGAACCAGGCTGGAAGCAGAACCAGGCTGGAACCGGAACCAGGCTGGAACCCCGGAACCTGCCTGGAACACGGAACCTGTCTGGAACCAGAACGGATCCGGAATGGAACCAGAACCAGGCTGGAACCGGAACCAGGCAGAATCCAGAACCAGGCTGGAACCCCGGAACCTGCCTGGAACACGGAACCTGTCTGGAACCAGAACGGATCCGGAATGGAACCAGAACCAGGCTTCAGACAGAACCAGGCTGGAACCGGAACCGGGCTGGGACCGGAACCAGGCTGGATCCAAAACCAGCCTGGAACCAGAACGGATCTGGAATGGAACTAGAACCAGGCTTCAGACAGAACCAGCCTGAATCCAGAACGAGGCTTCAGACAGAACCAGCCTGGAACCCGGAACCAGCCTGAAACCAGAACCAGGCTGGAACCAGAACCAGCCTGAATCCCGGAACCCGGAACCAGCCTGAAACCAGAACCGGGCTGGAACCAGAACCAGCCTGAATCCCGGAACCTGGAACCAGAACCAGGCTGAATCCAGAACCAGGCTGAATCCAGAACCAGGCTGAATCAAGAACCAGGCTGTTCGGGTCTGGCTGAGCTCAGTAATCCCTCCTAATGTCTCTAGAATCAGGAAGGTTCTGTTCTGCAGCCAGAAACGGGGATAAACTGAACTAATCCTCTTTGGTCTCAGAACCTCTCAGTAGACCCGCCAACCCGCCTAATGACAGAACCAGAACCAGACTCACTTGAAGGGGTGTCCCTCATCGGACTTCTGGATGGCCTGCAGGATGCCCTTATATATCCTGAAGCAGATGGTGACGGAGAGCAGCGCCAGGCCGATGTAGGAGCAAACGCTGACGATGCTGCACACCGTCAGCGACAGCAGCAGCAGCAGGGCGGCGCCGAACACCACGCCCGTCGTCTTCACGTCCCGCCAGTACAGCAGCTCCACCACTGCGGGACACAGAGACACAGTGAGTAAACGCCGCCGTGGGGTCTGACCTCAGGGCGGCTGCTTTGATGGGACCTGCTGAGCAGAGGAACCAGAGAGAGGTCCAGACCGACTTCCTGCCTAAAGATCAACTTCCTGCCACCTTCACCGCCTGCAGGGGGGAACATCTCTGGATCCCCCCTGGTTCTTTATAACTGGGTCCAGGGGTCACAGAACCCTCCCAGATTTAGGGATGGACCAGGAGGAGGTTCTGACCCATGACATCTGCAGATGTTTAAATGAAATCATTCCCACCTGAACACCTGCAGGGAGGTAAACCTGATTAACTCTTTACCTGCTGGGTTTCAGGTTTGTTTCACCGGGCCATCGGAGGAGAACTAGTTTAAAATATCTGCTGCTGTTCTGGTTGGAGGTCCGATTTAAGGAAGCAGAGGTCCAACATCTGCACATTTAGAGAGGAGCTGCTGAGGTCATCACCACACAGCAGATCATTCTGTTAAACCTCAGTCCTGCTGGTCTCAGCTGTTTAAACTCAGCGGGTTCGTTTTAAGGAACAGACGAGTTCAGAACCCTAAAAGTCAGACCAGAACTAGATCTACAGAAGCGGACCTACAGGTAGAACCAGAACCAAGCTGCAGGTTCAGAATAGGAAGCCGGGTTAATGATAGATTAACCAATCAGCAGGCGGTCTCTAATCAGGGCTGTTCAGGTTTGACCAATCAGTGAGCTGCATTTGATACGTCAGGCTCCAGGTCGGTTTGAATGAAAGAGAAAATAAAACTAAAATTGAGCCAAAAAGATTCAGTTGGTTGAAAACAGCAGAAAGTTAATCAGAGAAACTAGCTTCTCCTAACTGATCCCAGACCAGCATGAGGAGCTTCAGCTTGGAGGAAAACAGCAGAATGAAGCTCTGAATCACATGCTGACTTCAGGTTAAACTGAGCTCAGCTCAGCGGTTTAAACTCGGCCTAAACTTAAACCGCAGTTCTGTAAACTCAGCTGCTGACATGTTAGATTAAAGCAGACATCCTCTAAATGTCGGGCTTTATTTCCGCCGGTATTAGCCGGCTAGCTGCTAGCCTGCAGCCATGTTTCCCAGCAGCAGAGGCGGACTGGGAGCAGGAGGAGCAGCCGGAGCAGGAGGGGCGGAGGTCGGCTCCAAATGTGGCCTCCTGCCTACATATGGTATGAGGCTCCCAGCAGCACCGGAGGCTGCTAAAAATAGAGCCCGCTGCTCGGCGCCTCCAGCCGGGCCACAGATCTGGTTTCACCTCCTCCCGTTTGACCCGGTTCACCTCCCTCCTCCTGCTCCTCCTCCCTGCACCTCACCCCGGGACCTCTCAGCTCACCGCCGGGTCTGAACCACCCGGAGCCCGGCTCGGCCTCCGCAGCAGCCCCGCTCTCCCCGCAGCTCATCCCGCACAGCGCAGAGGACAGATGGAGCACTAACCCCGCTCGGCGTCCATGTTGAGCCTCCAGCAGCAGAGCGGAAGCCCCGCCCCCAGCTGACCGGAGATCAACAGCAGGGGGCGGGGCTGCGCATGCGCGGCTCGGCTCAATAGGGGCGGGCCTGCACATGCGCAGCTCGGCTCAGAGCAGAATCTTTTTAGAAACGATTTATTCTGATAGATTATCTATAAAACCAGTAAGGTGCGAAAAAAACTGAAATATTACCCAGATTGGTTTATTATTGGTAAAATATATTATTATAACCAAATAAATAGAGTGCTGAGTTAATACATCATTAAAAGGGAATAATTGGCACTGTAACTTTAAATTTATTTCCTCTTTTAAAATAAATATGTGTTATTAAAGACAAGAAAACCTGAGTTTATATTTCTGATAAACTGTATTGAACAATCTGAAGGGTAATGACCGAACAGGAAGTCCTTTAACCTCCAACCTAAACCGTCTGTTTGGGTTTCCTGGAAGCAGGTCAGAACCATGAGGAGGACCTGTGGGTTTAGACCCTGGAGGCCATCTGGATATCTGAGAACATCAGTTCTCTGGTCTGGACTTTGACTAGGCCGTTCTGACCCATCATCCATGTGTCTCTGTCTGGATGTTTGAGGCGGTTCTGTTGGACGGTCAGCCTCCTCCTCAGTCTCAGCTCATCTGCAGCCTTTAGCGCTATCTGTCTCTCATCATGATGCTGCCACCACCATGGCCCACAGTGAGGATGACGCTTTCCCAGCTCATCATATCTCCTATAAGGACCAAAGTGTTCGTCTCCGGTCAGACCCCGTCTATGACGATCTGTAAACTGCTAACAGAACCTTCCGCTCCCCTCGGCAGGCGTCTGGACCTCTGCAGCTCCTCCAGAGCCACCGTGGTCCGAACCCTGCTTTGAACTGAACCAGAACTTCCTCCCTGACCCGTCTGCTGGGTTCTTCAAGGCGTGTTTCCTCCTTCCTGAGATGATCCATCAAAAACACAAACAGAAGCGAAGCTGAAAAGTTTCAGCGGTGTGAAAACTTTACAGGATCTTTATCTGATGTCAGAACCCTCAGCGGACGGAGCGATAAGCCCCGCCCACACGGCCCGGGTTCTACTGGCGGATCATAAAACGGCAGATAAAAGGTCCAAAATTCAAATTCTGCTGGGAGATAACCCGGCCAGTTCTGCAGCCATAAAAGGAGGAGCAGCAGAACCAGGTGCATGCTGGGAGATTACAACCACCAGTTAAGCTCTGAACCTGCGGCGCTCTGTGGGAGCTTCACTGCTGAACCGGGTCTAAAGAAAGTTCAGTTTGGGGCAGAATCTTAAGTTTCCCTCTAGAAGAGATCAGAACCAGAAGGTCGGAGCTTAGAGCAGCAGAACCGATCCGGACCATCAGAACCATCTGTTCACACAGAGGTGGTTCTGATGAGAGACGGCAGCACGGTACCATCAGAACCTCAGAACACCCCGACCCTGCAGGAGGAGCTAAACAATGAACAGAACCTCCGGAGGCTCCAGCCGCTGTTTGGATTAACGGACCACAGATCAGAACCAGACATTTCCCCTGTAATAAGGTCCAATTGGTTCTGATCAGGTTAAAGGCTGAAAGGTCGGATTTTTTCCCTTCCATTAAACGCACCAGAACTGCCTCCAGTTAGAACACGCTAAGTTTCTTTCACTCCTGTGAGCGGTTCTGGCGCCTCCGTCTCAGAACCGGCGTCTCCTCCAGGTTCTGGTATCCATCAGCAGACGGATCTCTGCTGCAATCAGAACCAGCCGACGCCGATTGATCAATAATCAATGACTCTGCACAAAGGTCAGAGCGCTGAGTCATCAGTCAGGAGACAGAAGCGATGATCGGTTCTGATAGCAGGACCTCAGCAGGAACCTTCAGGTGTGTTCGGTTCTGGTTCTGAAGGGAAAGCTTCCAGAACCGGACTCCTTCAGCTCCTCTGCAGCCAATCATTAACCTGAACCCACCTCCCTGCTCCTCCTACTCCTCTTTGTCCTCCTTTGGCCGGAGCTGCTGCAGGTCCAAAGGTCCCAGCTGCTCAGAGCCCGACCAGCGACACAGAACCGGACCTGAACCAGGCCCAGAACCACCAGAACCTCCCAGTTTAACCCAGCACAGCTGAAACCGACGGCTGACAACATGAAACAGACAGATGAACCCTGCTGGACCCACCGGGTCTCTGAGCCCGGCCCAGAAGCAACCAGAACCTGACCGACGGGGAGGCCTACCCTGCTCTCTCCATGTCTGGACCTCAGGCTCCTTCTCCTCGCAGCAGTTCTCCATGCTGTCCGATCCGATCAGCAGAGACACATTCCAGCAGGCAGCGAGCCGACCGAGGAGCTCAGAGTGGGACGGGGGAGGAGGAGGGAGGAGGAGGG